CTATGTATGGTCTAGCAAGGGTTTAAAACACAGGCTAAAAAGTTGGGGTTTTTTTCTTGGTGGTTTTTTTTTCAGATTTGTTTTTTAAAGTTCAGGACTGTCTGTTAGCTCTGAAGTTTTTTGTTGTCTAAAGCTGTGTTAGTATGATTAGTTCAGATTTAAGTATTTGTTTTGTTAGTATCTAGATTTAGAAGAGGTTGCTAATCTGAGATACATAACTATTCAAAAAATGTTTAAATGTAATTCTGAGCTACTTTATTTCCAGGTAAGCAGTTGGGCTGCGTTAGAGCTGATACTCCTGGGTAGCTGCCTTGCTGCTGGCTGCTTGTTTGGATTTTTAAAATAATCTGGGTTGAGTGGCTTTCCATCTGGGTTAATGACAAGTGATTCCCAGAGAGCGCCGTGAGAGTCCATACTGGAGCAGTCTCAGAAACCTGCAGTGCTGAGCTCTGTGTCTTAATCTGTGGGAGGTATAAGCTGTGTCCCTCTGGTTTTCACAGCTATCAGTCTAATAGTCATGTGAAGGGAATTCTCCTGGGACAGTGAGAATATTATAACCATATTTTCTCTTACAATTGCAGGGAGATGGCTGGGTTTATCACAAACCCCTCTGGAAAACAGTCTCTGCTGCACAACCTCAGCAAACAGACGCTAACTAGAAAAGCTGCATTAAGATGAGTTTTCTGATTTTCCTTTCCTTTTCCTCTGTCTCTCAAAACACAGTAACCACACCGAGTGTCCCCTTTTTATGTAATTGTGAAAGTTTAAATGAGCGTAAAAGAAATAAATATACTAGGGCACTTTAAAGCTATTAAGAAAAAAAAAATCAAAGTTGTAGATACAAACTTGCCAGGTACATTCAACCAACTTGTTTTTTGTATGATCCAAGAGATTTTATCTGAATTGTGTAAGATTCTTCTAAGTAGATTGCAAAAGCTGCCTAAGAGAAGAGGAGCTGTTGGATTTTTGGAGTGACATGGGAACGTTTTTCAGAATCTGCATCAAGCTCTTTAATAACTGAAACCTGCTCAGTACCCGTGTAGACAACAGCAACAGAAAATTGCTGCTTTTATGCCCAGTGATGATCCTTTCTGGCGAAAACTGGAGGGGTGTTTGGAAGATGTGCCTGGAATCAGTGTTAAGAAACAACTGGATCGTGATGACTTTTTTCTTCAGAGAGAACGCGTGCATGCATCAGAGGAATTTGGGATATGTGTAGAGACTACCTTTCTTTTTTATGGATTTATAAAAGCTATTAGAATTGTAACCATGGAGAAATTTTTCCTCTGAAACGTTTTAATATACTTGAAATAATTGACTTGAATTGGAAAAGTAATTTGAACACTTTTCGACTCCTAATTTTATTAAATCTGAGTGACTTTTTCTCATGTTATAATGTAATGAGGTTTGGCCTTTTTTTCCCTCCTCCACCTTCCCTTCCCAAGGACTAAGGCTTTCAAAATGAACAGAAAACGTACCATTTTGAATTTAAATTTCTCTGCCCATCTAATCATCTCAGAGGTGAAGTATCAGTGTTACAAACTGTCCTTTGGATTGTTTCGGTTTTCTCCTGTGGTGTTATTCGGAACAAAGCAGTGAAGTGTGACCTGTGAATACATGGACCGTAGGTCCTGGTTTTTCATCTTACCATAAAAAAAACCAAGCTGATTTTTGCTGGGTATTGATTTGAAACACAATCAGATATCAGGAAACTGTATTCAGGTACAAACATCCTTTGTTCTTTTTTTTTTTTTTTATATATAACTATTTTATTGAAGCCTAAGAATTGCTGGCAATTAACAATAGTACTTACTATGGCTTTCCTTATTGTTGTCACTACGAGCTACCTTAATTTTTCCAACAGTGGTGCCTTACTCTGTTTTTTCTTCTGATGTAGTCTTCCAATCAGTGTAAATAACATTATCTGCCACTTCCCGGCCATGGCAATGGCTGCCCCTGATCCAGCACCATGAGAACTCACAATTGTGTGATCTGGCGAGATGTTTCCCATGGACAAGATCCAAGTGTGAGAAGGCATCAGAAGGTTTCAATAACAATGTTAACTTTCAACACAAACTGTAAATCGTGCAAAAAAAAAAAAAAAGGTTGGGTTTATGCACAACTACTTTGATCCTCTTGTACATTTTTTTTTTTGCTGTGATGAAATGCACTGAGATCTCCATGCGAGTCATAGTCCGTTTGTGAGGAGCAGGGGTGGGGATAATAAAACTACAAAATGATTCATTTGTTCTGTCTGCTTTCCTAGAGATCAGGTGACCAGGAAGAGGAGGTTGTTGTTATCTTTCATGCTGGAGAGCTGCCTGTCTGGGCTTTCCTTGGCCCTTAAAGTGGAGTATTTTGGCACTGTGGACTTGAGTAGTAACTGTATCCTCCAGCAGAAGAATGCTTTAGGCCCTACCATCTCATTTTTTATATTCTACACAACCATCCTGTTGTGTTAGTTTTGGATATCCATTGGGCATTTTCATGTTTAACCAGGAATAAAAATAAAAATAAACATTAAAACAGTGGGATTAGTTCCTCCTTGTTTCAGGGTCTGTGGCACATTTGGAGTGCACTCCCTGGCCAGTTCCAGGATTTGGGGTGGGAATCATGCCGGCAACGAGCGAACTTCCATGGTTCATCAGTACCTGCACCGAAGTGAAGGTGGCAGAGGGACAGAAGATAAATTGACAACACTGCATATGCTTCGTCGTTGTTTTATCTGTATCGTATTGCTGTTTGTGTAAAGCAAGTCTGCCAGGGCTGTGGTGCAAGGTCAAGCTTTTAATATTGCAGTGAACAGGGCAGAATACAAACTTTTATCAGCTGAGCTTACTCCAGGGATCAAGCTTGTGCTTATTATAAATACGGGCCTATGACTCAGTCACTGAGCTCTGCTTGGAGTTTTGATTTGGGAATTTGTTGAGGTGATAGCTGTAAAACAGACTAAAAAGCTCCCATGTTGACCATAAACCCATTTGTGTTCCTTATATAATATTATTAGTCAAGTTATTTCTCTTCCACCCTCATCTGGTATGCTTGTGGTTTCACACTGAGAAAGCTGTTACTAATTTTGCTGTGTAAAAATAGACTCGGTGCTGAAGAAGTAGCCTTTTAAAATACATGAAACTCTTTCTTTTAACATGGGGGCTGCTGCTAGAAAAAAAGAAGGTAAAGCATTCCTGTGCTCAGATGATGACAGGACCTGGGATGGCTTCGTGATGTGGATTTAGTTCTGCTGCAAATTTCTAGTTACTTCTAGAAATTGAAGGACATAGCTGAAAACTGTTTAAAAAAATTCTGGCCACTGAATATCCAGCTTAAATTGCAAGGCATCTGTTTGATTCTTCTGATAGTTGCAGCACCCTATGGACTAATGGATGCATTTTTAACTCTGACCAGATCTGGTTCTCTTGCATAACTGCTGTTGTTTCCAACTCCTACCTTCTGGAGCGGAGGGAAGGGCTCTCTGCTGCTTCCTATGTGGATATTTGCTAGAACCAGTGTGATCACTGGGGAGCATGGCAAAAGGTAGGGTTTGGGTGTATGTTCCCTTCTGTCTTTATGGCTTGATTTGGCTCCACTGATGTTAAGAGCAAAATTCTTACTGATCTCAGTGGCTTTTGGCTCCCCGAGCTATAAACAGATCTTGGAGCTTAAATAAGTGACTCTTTGGAGTTGCTGTGTACCCTGCTGCTTGTGGAAAACAGCGTGTGACAAGTCACTCCTATTTAATGCAGGCGTCGAAGTGTGTAATCCTGAGAGCTTGGTTCTGGACTTGGTTATCATGGAAAAAACCCTGCAATTTGTAAATAGGAGTGTTCAAGCTTTTAGGCATGGGGAGAGGAATATATGTTTTTCAGCATATTTAAGTTAGTCAGCATATTTACTACATAAACTGTCAAGCCTAGGATTAAGTCTGTGTCTCCCTGGGAGAATTTGGATTTCAGCCATCAGAACTGGAGATGCAGCCTTCAACGTCTGGTTTGCACAGCCTGATCCCCCTCTGTCCCAGTAATTCATCCAAGAACAGGTCAGAGTGCCTTTTAAAGCCTCTTGAACTGAATTTGAAAGAGCAGTAAACATACTCATTGGTGTTATATCCATCAGGCAGCCTCAGCTGTAGAAAGCTCATGGCTATTGCACTGTTTTCCCCTTCCCCTCTCTTGTAGGGGTTGATCCATGCAGCTGAGTGCTGGCAAGCGAGGTATTCCTCTCGAATGCTACCTGAAAGATACACCTCTGTGTAGGTGAGTGTCAGGTATGGGCTTTGCAGGGCTTCTTGGTAGCAGCTAAGGTTTTTATTACCTTTTGCTCCCGGGGGTGGAGGGATCAAGATTTGCACAGTGGCAGGGTTCAGAGTGAGGTATGACTTACCTTGCCTTAATTGTCTTTCTGCTGCAGAAGCAGCCTGGCTTGGTCTGGTGGTTACAGGAGCAAAGGTCCTGGTTCTGTCTGGTCATGTTCTTCAGGTCGAATTTCTTCATCAGAGGGAGTGAAAGAGTTGCGAGAAGAATTAGCCAACATGTTTGTGTTCATGGTATTACTGTGGCACAAATCTGTTGGTTAGAGGTGGCTGGAAAGTGGTACGGGGAAAAGTTTTCTTGATACCTTGTATGGAGACTTCTTAGAGTGAAACAGCAGTGTCTACACTGGTGACTTTGTCTATTGAAGAAACTTTGTGCACCCACCTGAACTATCACGTACAGCCAGGAACTCCCCAGAGAAAGGTGCTGGAGTAGCAGCAAACCAGGCTTTTGCCAACTGGATTATTAGGTATATTTACAGTGTGTTAAGGATTGTCTGATCAATGAATCATTTTCTTGGGTGCCTGCATGTGTTATGCTGAGGATGTGTAACGGCTCAGGTATTGTGTGTGTGTATGTGCCATTAAAAAAGGAAAATTGAACATTGTCTTGATCTCTGCAGAATAAAACAGAGGAGAAACTTGTGATGGCAATGTGGAAGGACTTCAAATGATAGACATGGACTTCAGGTGCTTATTAATAAAAGATTAAACATTATTTTAAAAATAATATAAGGAATGCTTTGCATCATTATACATTTTAAGTAAGTACAAAATCAGTTCATATATAATGTTGCACTTTAACCAAAGTATTGATTCCACAGTTCATTGTATCTGTGGGAGGAAACAGATCTTATAAATAAGTTATGTACTAGATCTTAGTTCAATTTTTTTTAAAAAGCAAGGGTTTTTCCCCATGAGCCAAACGCTTCTCGCTTATCTTCTCGTTTCCCACAATAAGGCTTTCTGCCTGCTGTGTCACAGTGCATTTCTGCTCCCGTCGCTGTCCTGCTGCTCCCCGCCTGGAGCTGCTGTTTTGCTGGCCTCGTTGTCCGTGTTGTTGTTGAGGATGTCGTCGCAGTCCATCTGCGCCATCAGGTTGAAGCGCTCGGCCACGCAGTGGGCGGTGAGGCGAGCCTCGGGGTCGTGGTCCCAGCACTCCGTGATGGTGTCGCACAGAAAACGCATTCCCTGTGGTCAGAGGGGCTGAAATTAGGATCTGAAGAGGAGCTGGAAGCTGATCTAAAGCAATCACAGAGTTTTACCATAGTTCTGACAGCTTCCTAAAGAAACACCTTTCTTGGCCAGGCTTAAGCCCAGGAGGAAAGAGCCTTGGTAAGTTGTGGCAAGTGCCAGTGCTTGCCCCGTTACTGGCACTGCTTGTGTTAGAGCAGCCTCAGCTCACCTGGGATCTGGTCCCAAGAACTTTCCACACTCCTGGGAAATCCTCCCTGGAAATTGGTTTGTGTTGACTGTGGGGCATCAGTATGGGCCGGGAGGAAACGGGCTCCTGTTTCGGCCTTGCCCATTCAGATCAAAGCATCCTAAAATCATGAGGGGCAGGAGGAGGCTGCAGACTGGAGGAGAAGGGGCAGGGAGGCTCAAAGGCAAGTTTGAAATAGTCAGATGGTCACTGCAGTGTGAGGCTGAGCTTTGTTATCTCAACACAAAATAGTGTCTTGGTTCAGGTAGGATTGGATACTTCTTACCATGCTCGGTTCCTCTCAGTTACAATGGTTTTGCCTCTCAGTAATATACTTTTTTCCAATTGTGTAGTGCTTTGAAAAGAGTCCCAAAATTTTGGGCTTAGAAACGACAGTATTCAGCTGGTGGTTTCCCTCCTCTTAAGCTAGCAACACGGCGAGCACCAGAAGCTGTGTTGAAACTTCCTTTGCTTATATACTTCCTATCATGTGCTATTGCTTTTTGCATCCTTGTCAACCCAGGTTGCAATGCAGTGGAAAAATCATTATTCTAAATAAAGCTTCGTGGTTTTTCAGTGGGTTTTGTGCATTTCTTAATTTGCAATTCAGAGAACCCAAAGGTCTCATACAGACCAACACAAGAGGAAAATGCAGGTCCTACAGAGATGCAGTATCTGTGTTGTCTGTCCTTGTGCACCTTGCTCTGAACTTGCTGCTAAGGTTCATCATACAGAGTCTTCCATAATGGACACAGATTAGAGAGAACAGGATTGCGCAGTAAAACTGACAGATGGTGCATTTCAGTGCCTCTTACGCACTCATTTATTAGCTTAGTTGAAAGGATTTGAGGATAATTGATTAACATGCAAAAATGAGCTAGCTCAGCTGAAGCTTTTAAAATAAGCCTTTTCTCAAACGGAGCATGGCACTGTCATATGGTGTAGTCATTAGATTTTCTGTGCTTGTTTTGCCCTGAAATCATGACATTCATTTGCAGTTTGTCTTGTAAGCAGCAATGTGATGCTCTTTTGAATGGTACAACTGGAACATCTTGTTACGCTCACAAAATAGACTTAATTTGTGTTTTGTATGTGCTATCTCAGATTTCCAAAGGATGCCGAGTTTTACAAGTATATTTTTAGTGGCAATATTGACTTAAGCTCCCACTGCTCTTTCCTGTCCTGCACCAGCCCTTTGGCTGTGCCAGTACAGCAGTCTGTTCAGCTGCTTCATGAACCAGATACAGGAATTTACCTGGCCCAAGTAACCACTTTTTTCTTTTTTCTTTAAATGTGGTAGGGTGTGAAGCGAGGTAGAAGTGTGGGCTTCAGGTGTTTGTAAGGTGTTTGGAACAGGCTGCCCAGAGAGGTTGTTGAGTCTCCTTCTCTGGAGACATTCAAAACCCGCCTGGACGTGTTCCTGTGTGACCTCGTCTGGGCGATCCTGCTCTGGCAGGGGGGTTGGACTGGATGAGCTTTCGAGGTCCCTTCCAACTCCTAATATTCTGTGATTCTGTAAGTTATCTGGGAAACTGGGGTAAATTTCTTCAGTGGGGTTTATTGTGCAGCCTTGCAAACAGTTGCCCTGGAGCTGCTGTGTGTGTCAGCTGTCAGGGACATTAATGCTTACGTTTGCTGAAAATCTTAAACCGTGGCCATCAATGTACATCCTCACTTGACTGAAGGTGATCCTGATGGTTGAAACGTGGAAGTAGCATTTGGAGCTCTGCATTGAACTTATTTTCCTTGGTGGGAACATCTATGGGTGCTTCTCGTTCAGGTGTGTGATTTGCCTCCCTTTCTTGGTGTCACCCAAGGCTTCCCTCCCAGGAAGCCCTTGACCCCAGGAGTGCCACAGAGCCGTGGCTTTCTGCTGCTCCCCAGCAGATGGTGCTGCCCTATGCTGCATCCTGGGGATGCTGGCTGCAAAACGCCTGGAAAACCAGGTAAAGCCAGGCTTGTGAGGAGATGTTTGTTAGAGCAGCTAAGATCAGGCAGAAGCACGCTTCCAGGAACACAACGTGGCTTTTCTGTTCCTCTTCCATAGTGGACATCAGGTGGTCTCAATAAAGTTACTGCCTTATAAGCCTTGCTCTGTTTAGGTGCTAGACCAACCCAACTACAACCCCTTATTTCTCAGAGGTGATTGCAGTCAGCCCGTCCTCAGCCCAGCAAACAGCACAGTCATGGTCAGTACTATCACAGCATGATTTTTGACAGCCCCAGCCTCTGTGTGTTTTTCCTGTGGTTTCAGAGTTGATCGGAGACTTGGGGAGGTGAATGTCCGAGTTGAATACTCAAAGGCTTCAAATATGTAGCGGTGCTGATTGAAGTCCCTGTATTTGCCTTCTTCAAGGAAGAAGGCTGAGTGAATGTCAGGCATGAACTCGCTGACTGATAAACTCACTGCTGGTCAGGCAGAAACCACAGATTCATTTGATGCCGTTTGCAGCCTTGGTTGATCAGGTCAGTTGTGAGTCTCTGGACAAACATGGTTTTGAGAGGAGATATTGTAGGGAGCACTTGGCCTTCTAAGATCGTGAAATTATATCTCTCCTTCGGAAAAGCCTGGCTTTATGTGCCATGCAGGCAGAGGGGAAGCAGTAGCAGTGTGTTTTACGGGTGGGTGCTGCAAAATGATGGCCTGAACACTGCAAGGCTGTGTGAGCCAGCAGGCTCGCTGTTTCAGCTTGCTGTTCAGATGAACTGAATTGTTGATCAGCAGATGGTGTTTTTCCACAAGACATGTGAAATTTAAGTAGTACCAGAGTCAGGCAAGATTTTAAAATCCCTGTCAGCGTGCCTGTTAACCCCTTGTGTCCTCAATGCGTGGGAGAAAGCACTGGAGCTGGGGGAGAGGGGAGACCCTGTCGGGGCCTGGGGGCAGCTGCGTATCTGGAGCTGGTTGGTCTGGGTGTGCTTTTGGATGGTTTTAACAGAGCACACCTCATCGTTGCTGAATTGTTTCTATTCTAGAGCACTAGGTTATGCTTTCAGTGCTGAAACACTTTGTTTTCAGACCTCCTGAGCTGAAGGCTGGTGAAAGACTTCACCTTGGCAAGATGTGAGCCTTGCAGCCTCCCTGCTTCATGCGTGTTTCCTGGTTGTTTCAGTTGAGGAAGATGCTTCCTGTTTTGCCTTTCCTTGTAGAAGTGGAAGTCTTTCACATCCCAAGTCACGACCTCACATGTCAGAGGTAATTTTGAGCTGGAAGCCTCCGCAGCCAAGCGAGCAGGAGGCTGGATGCACCCTCCTCCCCTCTGTCCTTGCTGCTATGGCTGTGTGCGAGGGGCTCTGTGCTTTCTGAGCGAGAGAGCTTTCTGGATAGGGTGGTTAGGGGAGAGGTGGGCTGGACTCAGATGATTTACTGTTTTGTGAGAAGAGCCTGCACTGAAGGGCTCCACTTTGCTGTTATCCTCAAGATAACTGAATACCATTGCTTAGTGTTCGTAACTCTTCCTGATCATGGCTATCCACCTATAGATTTTGCTGTACCCCTGGCTGGTGACTTTTATACAGCAGGGAAATGGGTCTAGAGGGGCTTCTGTGGGCTCAGCCTCCCAAATGGACCCGGGAGTAGGGCCCAGGATTTCTCCACACCTTTGCTTTGATCACAGCTTTATTTTTCAGGCTGGTTTAGTGAGGTGGGACCATGTGGGCTGCTCTTTTCTGAACCAGCTGCTCTCAGCTTACCTGATGCACCAGCCAGCTGCTCGGGATCTCGGGCCGCCCTCTGCCATGCAGCACGATGTCCCTCATGGTGTCCACGCAGGGCTGCTCCTGGACTTTTGACCCAAAAGGCAGCTCATAATTCTTTACCTCTGCAAAGAAGCGACAGCAGCATTACAGGATATTTTTCATACATTCATTGCTTTGCTTTGGTATGGGCCACCAGATGAGAATAAATTAGTTTTTACTGGAATTTGAACATAGAAATGTAGAGCTGGGTTTTCATGTAGACATTGTTTTCAGAGATGGGACTGGGGAAGCATCTGAACACCTCCCTGAACCCAAGAGATGCACTACAAAGGACTTGTTTATTCTTAGGGTGAAAGATATTTTCAGCAGGTGAAATGTGTTGTGCAAGTGAAAGATGGGAGAGGTGACTACGGTGTCAGCATCCAGATTCTTGCTGCAGACATGGATTGGGTTAGAAGAGAAATGGCCCTTCCAGAAGAGGAACCCCACGTTGTGAGAGGCCAAGGAGAAACTCCCTGTTGCAGAGGTGAGGCCATCCCCAGTTTCTGCCAGCTCCTGCCCGGATGCAAATACAGATGAAATACAAGTGGGGAGGGATGGACTGGGATGAGAACAAAGAATGCACAGAGCATCTGAGCCAGGCAAGGGTCTCCCACTGCCAAGTGCGAGGCATTCAGGGAAGTTGTGGCAGCTTTTCTGCCAAGGGTTGGAGCTTTCTGCAGCTCCATGGGCTTGTGTTGCAAGTAGGTGGGATAGGGAAAGGACTGGAGAGCCGAAATGGGGAGCAGGCAGAAGGGCAGGCAGGGGCTGACAGCAGGGCAGTTAATTAAATGTTCTGCTACACACAATTTCAGATGCCAGGATTGTGGCTCTGGGAAGTGGGGGGGGATGTGGCTCTGTTGGAGGCTGGAGTTTGCGAGTCCCTGTTGCAACATAAACTCTGGTGTTGCCTGAATAAAAACCTGCTTGTGGCTGGGGAGGGGGAGGCACCTTCAGCTTCCTGCGTGGTTTGCTCGGATGTGACTTGGCCACTGGCCGGCATTGAGCGGGGGCTGGACTAGATGTCCGCTGGGGTCCTGTCCTGTCCCTCGGCCACTGAGCTGGCTCCCTCAGACTGCAGCACATGGGGCATTGTGGCCATGGGGGAGGATCTAGGTCCCTTTCCTAGCAGCCCTGCAGAGACCCAAGCCACCCCAAATCGGGTCCCGTGCCATCGGTGGGGTTGTGGGAATGAGCCACATCCCTGTATGGGGAGGAAGGGAGCAAAAAGGCATGTGGCAGCCTTGGTGTGATGCTCCTACCTCCTACCACTTCACATCTGGAGGCCATTTCCCACAAAACGAGGGCCATGGAGTAGACGTCCATCTGCTTGAAAGACTCCAGGTCTTCCAGGTTCACCCTGGACTCCAGAACCTCTGGGGCCATGTACCTGGCAGTGCCCACCTGCACACAAAGAGGAGACAGGCATTAGCAGGGGTGGGTGAGGATTTTGGCCGCAGGGCAACAGGTCTGCAAAGGGGCAGGTCATACTTGCCTGCCCACTGTTGGCAAAGTCGTCCACCGTCAGGGAAGGGTCGAGGCGTATGGCAATGCCGAAGTCGCAGAGCACGCACTCCTGCTCATTCTTCACCAGGACGTTGGTGCTTTTGATGTCCCGGTGGGCGATGGGGATTTTTGGCCTGCCGCAGGCGGTGTAGTCGCTGTGGAGGTGAGCCACCCCACTCACCAGGGAGCTCGCCATCTTCTGCAGGTCCATCCAGCTCAGGATGTGACGGGACAGGTAGTCCTTGAGGTTGCCCCGGCTGTGGTAGGCGGTGATGAGCCAGTACTCCCGGCGGGGCCCCGTGCCCCGGTCCTCGGCAGTAAGGAACCGCAGGACGCTGTCGTGCTTCAGGCTGGCATCGGTGAAGATCTGGCTCTCGTTCTTCCAGGAGGAGTACTCCTCACAGGGAAAGATCTTCACGGCCACCGTCTCGTACTGCCCCGAGCGGCTGTGGCTCAGCTTGGCCCTCCACACCTCCGCGAACTGCCCTTTGCCCACCATCTCGTCCAGCTCGATGGGGAGCAGCTCAGCGGGGCGGCTGCTGGCACCAGTGGGGCTGGCGTTGGCCGGGCTGTCCTCCATCAGCACCGACAGCTTCTCCTCCCTCTCGGCAGCCCTCCCCGGCTCCGGCAGTGCCGGGGGCTGTCCCGGTTTCCCACCCCAAGCCTTGGCTCTCTTCCGCCGCTTCTGCGTGCGGCAGAGGTAAAATATCACCGTGATCATCACCGCCACCAGCAGCGGGGGCAGGAGGCTGATGGCGGCCACCGGGATCACCTCCTTGCTCTGCAGCATGGAGTAACCTGCAGGGAGGAAAGCAAAGGCCAAGTCTGCAACAGCTCGTTTTCATCGTGCGGAGGAGGAAAATATGCAAAGCCATTAATGAAGCGCAGCCTTTTGCGGGGCTGCAGCGCATGCTGTGTGCAAACCCCATCCCAGCAAAGAACCCAGATGCAGGCAGTTGTAAGGGGGCTGCTTAGTTTAGGTCTCAAATTTAGCTCTGTTTATCAAGTGAGGGGTCAGGACGCTGGCATTGCTTGGGCCAGGCCGTGTGGTGTCCTGCTACATGGCTTAGGTGCCCTTCGGTGGCTCATGGTGAGGGGAACAGGAAGGAAGTAACAGTGATAAAGCGGAGGCAAGGCCCAGATGGAGCAAATCTCTGAGGGGGTCTGGGGCCTTGCCAGAGCCCTGCAGCAAATGAAGAGATGCTGAGGGTGGCTGGGCTGCATGCAGGACCACCAAGCCCAGGGGAGCACAGCAATGCTTTGCACAGTAATTAGTATTAATTCTTAGCATCGTTTCAGTGCTGCCTGCTAGTGTTGGCATCTCCTTCCTCGCCACGTTACAATGTCAACCCCCTCAACCGAGTGGGCATGGCTGCTTTTGTTTTATTTCTTTTAAACCCCTGTCAGCCTTCAGATCATTGGGGGGGGATGCACACAAAAAACCCTAACCCTTGCACAACATATAATTGTCTGATCCTTTGATGTTTGCAATTCCTGGAATAAACATGCTGACTTCAGTAGAGATATTCAAGTAAAATCTTACTCAGAGGTTTTTCTGCCAAGTATAATAACCCAGGGGAAGAGGGATAAGAATCATTCCATAAGCAAAACTCTCGCTGCTTGACCTCAGTATGTGCAGATCATAATTCAGGTTCTGGAAAAACAGAGCATTTAGCTATTTTCCTTGGCAAATTTCAAAAAAATGTGCTGCAGCTAATTTCTGTGAGGCTGTGAAAGCGTTTCTAAAATAGGCATCAGGTTCAAACCACAAGATCAACCTAAACTGATATAAATCAATAACTAACTCAGGAATATGTTTATTTTGGAAAGCATTAGGCCTGGATATCACCTACTGCTTTAATGGATTTACCCGATGCTTAAGATCCCATCTTTGAAACACTGAAGAAAAAGAAGATATTTTAAAGGGAGTTGCATGCATGAGCCCTGAAAGGGGAAGCAAACACAACTTCAGCAGATTCCTTCATGAGGATGCTCCTTCCTGATCGAGCCCTTTGATACCGGATCACAGAATCATTAAGGTTGGAAGAGACCTCCAAGATCATCAAGTCAAGCTGTCAACCCAACACCACCATGCCCACTAAACCATGTCCTGAAGATACAGAGCCTTAGCTTAGACCCCTTCTGTGGAGAGCAAACGTAGCTGCTCTGGTGATAACCGTGGTCTGAAAACCCATGCCTCATTGAGCATCGCCTGGGTCTTTCTATGGGACTGCTGAGGGGAGATGGACCTCCAGGACCAGGTTCAGCTGCTGCAGGAGTGGAGAGGGCTCAGCGTGCTCAACGCTACCCAGCATCGTCCCAAGGTGTCTGTGGGGCTCCTGCTTGCGTGGCTCTAGGAAACGATGCCTTTGCGTGTTTGTTAGGGTGGTCTCTGAGCTCTGGTGGGGTCCCCTGCAGCCCTGGTGCTGGGGCAGTGCCACCCAGCAGCGCAGGCCTGAAAGCAGGGCTTAACAAATCAAGAAATTAGAAAAATTCTGCTTGCTTCAGCCACCAGAGAAGTCCTCATCTGATTTAGGTATTTCTCTGCTTGATGTTTGTCTATACCATTGAAGGTGACCATAAGTCAACATTTTAAATGCAAACGATCCCTTAAAGCAGAAGAAAAGGAGGGAAACAATGGGGTCTCTGAGTCTGGGGCTTCCCAAGCTGGTCCCACAAACCAGATCAAAGAGGAGATGGTTATTTCAGGCCCGCACCGCTCTCACTCCGCCTTTCGGCCCTTGACGTGGAGCCTGGCAGGAGGAGGCTGTTTGTGGAAGCCTTCGGTGGGGGCGGCATCTCCAAGGAGCCAGTTGTCATTTTTGTGTGAAATTACAGCATCGTCTTTGGGATTTGACTATCTCTCCCTAGAAGTGTGTGGACCTGTTATGTTTGGCTCGGGAAGCAGCAAAGAACTGCCAAATTTAGCATCATTTGCCTTCATTAAAAATGGCTTGTTTGTTCGTGGAATTTGCATTTTATGTGGTTTGGGGGTTGTTTTTCTTTGTGTTGTGGGAGAGGCAATCCCACTGACTTACAGGTTATGTTTAGGCTCATTTTGAGCATCTCATTTACTTTTTAAAATGGAAAATTGGAGAGGTTTCACTTTGCTTTTGTTATGGGTCAGATTCTTGATGGACACCTGGATAAACCTGGTCCATTTGGGATTAGGGAGGTTTGGACAAGCCCCCAAGGCTCGAGATCTACCTGGAAGCATTTCCAAAGTATACGACCCTCCTGGGGTACAGAAATGAGCTGCCTCTTTGTTTTCCCTCCTGTGGATTTACAGCTCCTGTTGGATCTCCAGCCATCTGCAGAAGCATCTATGGGCATGCCAAGATGTGCTTATGTACGTGTGCAGCACCAGGGCGGCTCTGCTGTCCCTGCCTGGGGTAAACGCCGCTGCAAAATCCCATCAGAGCAGCAGGGGAGGCACCACCGTGTGATGAGTCCTGTGCTCTGGTACCAGCACCTTTTTGGGTTGCAGCCACAGTTCCCGTGGGTGTGCCAGGGCAGGATTTGCTCATTTAAAACTCTCAGAGCATTGACTCATGCTGGGTTACACCAGCTTCTGGGGTCCTTAGTTGATTCGCCCTGTGATGAAGAGCCCGGACTACCAAGAGATAAGGTGGATTTTCCATCTCCTGATGTTTCCAGACCAAAGCTGGAGGTGTTTCTGGGAGAGATGGCTTAGCCACAGGCAAAATACAAAACACAATTTTTGTACCCCAAATAAGGGGGTACAACCTAGCTTTTATATAGGGAGCCCAAAGAAGATGTTGAAAGAGCTCATTCTGGCCTTGCATCTCCTACTCCTTAGGAAATACTTATTTGTTGTTAGCGTTGTGTGCTTCTCCCCCTGCAATAACGCGGACAACAGCACTCACCATTGGTGTGGTTTTCAAAGATAAGTTTGTCGTTGCACTCCTGCTCGTCCACACAGCCACAGATGTAGAGGATCCCATCCTCGCTGGGCTGAGGGGCCATGACGCAGCGCGAGGTGTTGTAGTTGGGGACCATGAGGTTTTCAATGGGGCGGTGGGGGTGGTGGCAGAGTGTGCTGATCCTGATGCTCTCATTGTCCTGTCTCCTGCAGGTGCAAAAGGAACCAACAAAGCGTTAGTTTGATGGCTCAGCCTTTGTGTCACCCTTGTAGCATCTTAAACCTGGTTTTAAGATCATTAGTTTTAAGCGTGTCGGGAATGACTTGTTTGCAGCAGCTCTGGTATAATTCTAATTCTATGTGCTTTGGAGGGGCTTTGTTAAAGCCCTTTATTATTTCTTTCAAATGGTGAAAAGAGAAATGTTTAGCACGTGCCAGTAGTAGGATGTGAGTCAGAGACTCTGCTTGTTTCCAGTAGAGAAGTCACCAGTTCATAATCACGCTTTGCATCAGGTAGTGCCAACCCTAAGGCTGAGTGCCCTGCATGTGATTTGGGGCAAAAATCCCTCCTTTACCTGTTAGGCCAGCAGGTTTTGGGACCGCATGGTCCTAAGGAATCCCTCCAAAGTGAGGGTCTCACCTTGTACATCACCTCTGCTACAATACAAGTCATGACACCTCTGTCTCAGGAGAGGCTGGGATCTCTGCTGCCCAAATTTCACCTGTGCAGGGGATGTGGTGGCCAAAATGCCTGCTCACCAGTGACCGCTTGGCTTGTGCTTCCCTCCTGCTCCTCTCCACCCTTGCGTGCAGTGGAGCCCATAAGCACCATCGCATCCCCTGGGCTAATTGCTGGTTGTCACACCTGGTCCTTGCAGGACCATTTGCTCCTGCGGGAGCAGAGCCCTTCAGTTGCTGGTTGGGGCTATTTCTGGAAATGCCTTGACCTTTGGAGCTGCCAAATTATAATGTGAGAGTGATACAATTTGTGGACCATGGGGCTGTGTCTGCATTTGTACCATGGCTTCAGACACTGAGGAGCTACAAATGAAACTTGTGTCACCCGGTGATGTCCTGGTCCTCACCAGGTCGGGGGTAGAGGAGTGCTGGGGCTCGGCGCAGCCAGGGATGTGATGGTAAATAAGCCCTAGCTCCTCCTTATTTCCATGTAGATAATTAAGGGAGGTAGAACTGTAATTTCTTGACATTTCTAGGGAATTTGTAAAAAAGTAAAATTGCTGTGTATTTCTTCAGCTCTATATAACATCCCCCATGTCTGAGGTGGTCGTAACATCAGCCAGGGAAGACTGAGACATCCCTCCCACCAGCTGAGTCAGGAGTTGAGGGCAGTGAAGACTTCCCAAGAGATTTTTCCCTTTCTGGAGTGAAGACACAAAACATCCCAGTGCCCGTGTTGCATTTAACTGTGCAGAAAATTCAGCAAGTTCAGTGAGAACAGGTGAAATATTTCAAGGCCTGTGCCCAAAAGGCCTCATTCATGAACCTCTGGTTGCTCACTGAAATGTGGTTTGTAGCATCAGATCTATCTCCATCCTACCAACAACCTTAGAGCTTTTTTAACCACCATTGCTCAGCAGCCAGGTTGGGTCCTTCTCGCACGCCAAAGTT